GGATTATAATCATTGTAATGAAACAAGGTGTATGATTTGTCGAATGTAAAACTGATGATCTGTCCTGTAAACTTTCACTCAATTTACAACAAAAACTTTAAAAAAAAAAAAGGAACATTGCTGCTATGCCTGGGGAGAAGACGAGAGAGGACATGTCAGGGGTGCCTGTGGTCACTTCAGGAGTGGGCTGATGGCTGCAGGTCATTTGTCTGGATGGGGTGCTCTCTGTGGGGGATAATGATCCTCCAGAGGGGCTTCTTGCTCCTGCCAAAGTTGGGGGAGGGGCAAAACTCTGTTGCCTGGAAACCATATCAACAAGTCCCAGTGTGAGGTTGAGCTGGAAGTTCTGAAGAAGACCAGAGGTAGAGGTACGCAGTGAGGAAGGAGGGTTTAGCGGGTAGGAGGAAGATCACCAGAGCTGGGGTGGTGGAGAGGGTGTGGTACTCTGCCCACGATAAAACGGAGACCCACCCCCTGACTCCATGACTGAGGCTGGGGGTTCTGCGGCCCTTGTGGGGTGAAAGAGAGCACATCAGCCTCCCATGTTCCCACTCCCAGTGTGGCAGGGGGCAGGGGGCACTGTCTTTCTGAAGAGGGCAGACACAGGGGCGTGTGGCAGGGGGCAGGGGGTACTGTCTGAAGAAGGCAGACACAGGCATGTGGCAGGGGGCAGAGGGTACTGCCTGAAGAGGGCAGACACAGGGGCATGTGGCAGGGGGCAGGGGGCACTGTCTTTCTGAAGAGGGCAGACACAGGGGCATGTGGCAGGGGGCACTGTCTTTCTGATGAGGGCAGACATAGGGGAGGGTGTCTTTCCTAGTCCTCAACCTGCAGTTGGTCCAAAGATCAACTGGAGCCTCAGCACAAGTGTCCAACAGAAAGGCTGTTTCCTGAAACGTTGAGTCCATCAGAAACTTCAAGCTGGATGATGGGGGCTGGGGGAGGTCCCCTGGGGGAAGACTTGCTTGTGCAGGTGAAGTCGGAGGAGGGACGGGTGCGGAAAAGGGTCCCAGCACAAACCCCTTTCTACCATCAGCATTTCCCCTTGCAATCCTAGCATGCAGCCACCGGTGGCGAAGGAGACTGGGCATAGGGGCCCGCAGGATCGGGCCGGGAAAAACGCGCCAGGGTCAGGGCCCCGCGAAGGGCGTGCGAAGAGGGCACCCCCGGTCGAGCCACCCAAGCCGGGCTGGGCGCTGACGCTGGAGAAGCTGACGGCCATGCAGCCCCCGCAGCGCCATCGTCACCTGCTTTTCTGCGATCTGCTCGAGGACGTGAGCGCGGCTGCGTCCATCTTCCCGCGCCACTCGCTGGAGCTGGTGGACCGCATGCCCGACCCTCGTATGTGGATACAACCATTGGAGCTGCCCGAACTACGACAGAACCGGCTTCTGGGTGTCCTCAAAGCTGCCGAGGCCCGTGGGCGGGTCCGCGCCCTACGGCTTCGCTACACCCGCATGCGGGTGAGGGAGGGGCTGGCGGGGCCAAAGGGGAGACAGGGAAGTATAAGGTAGGGAGACGGTGGCGTGGAGATGTACGTGGGCAGCCCGGGTGGCCTACGGAAGAGGTGACCCAGCATGAGCCACGCCGGTTCACGAACCCCCCCACTACCTGCAGGCCGAAGAGATTTCACTCCTCATCCAGAGGCAAAAGTCCGTGAGAGCTGCCATACGGCTGGAGGTGTTCCTGCCACCGCACCTGAAACCCAAAAGGATCCCGGACCCTCTGGACAGGCAAGAGGTGCCCGCAGGCCTGAGGAGGGGAGGAGGTCCCATCACCCCGTTTACATATGGCCCCAGCGTCTCCCCACCCCCTCCCCAGCGGAGGCGAGTGGAGACCATTCTGGAAGAAAACGTGGACGGCAGCATCTTTCCACGCTGACGATGCTGCGGATTCAACAAACCACCACTCTCCCCCACCCCCCATAAATTTCTGATTATCCAGTTGTCCCCTGGTCTTTTCGCCCTCCACTACCCAAGGATCCCCGGATGAAAGGGGCAAGGACTGACTCCGCCTGTCCCAGACATTGATGACACAGACCAATGCCTCCCAACAAAAATAGAGAGATACAACTGGGTGGGAACCAAAGTACTGAGGGACAGAGATGAAATGCCTGATAGACACCCCCACAAGGGAGGGCAGCTTCAGGGTGAAACTGGGACCCACCTGGAACCCAAATTACAGGTCATTGCCTGGGAAGACCACAGTGTGGTAATCTGACATGGGAAGTGACTGCAAACCCCACAGTGTGGTAGGATGGAAGGTCTCCTCGGACAAGGGACCCTGAAGACTGGTGGGGGAGGCTACTTGGGAAGGTCAGCCTTCCCTCTCTGAATCTCTCCTGTACCCACCCCCCCACCCCC